GTTTACAATCTGCATATGAATACAACTGTAGCAGTTTACAATCTGCATATGAATACAACTGTAGCAGTTTACAATCTGCATATGAATACATCTGTAGCAGTTTACAATCTGCATATAAATATATCTGTATAAGTTTATAATCTGCATATGAATTTAACTGTGGCTGTTTACAATCTGAATATGAATACAACTGTAGCAGTTTACAGTCTGCATATGAATACATTTGTTTCAGTTTAAAAATCTGCATATGAATACAGCTGTAGCAGTTTGCAATCTGTATATGAATACAGCTGTCGCAGTTTACAATCTGCATATGAATATAACTGCAACAGTTTACAATCTGCATCTGTAGCAATTTAAAATAGTTTACCTTGCCCATTTATGAACATCCGTAAAAATTGTGCCCAAGGACCTTTATAAAATCCATGTTGTGCCGTACTTCGGTAGAAATGGTAGAACGAAACACACGTGTCTTTGGGATTTCTTGCAACGTAGACTATCTGTTTGAAAAAAACATGCAATTGTTATAAGACTAATAAATACCACTTATATAACGTAAACTCAATAGTAGTAAGGTTAAATGATTGTTAAGAAATTGTACTGTTTTTACTGTAGAAATTGTAATATGTTGCATTGTTACTAGTAATTGAAATAAGTTGTATTGCCTAATAATTTCAATACATTGTATTGATCGTCATTTGCAATATTACTAGTAATTTCAATGTGTTGCATTACCGTCACTAGTAACTGTAATATGTTACATTGGCCATTACTAGTAATTGTTACATTTTGCATTGTCCGTTACTAGTCATTATATTGACTACTAGTGATTGTAATAAGTTAAATTGACTGTTAATGACTGGTAACTAATAACTGAAACGTGCAGCTTTGTGAACTATAAGTTTGGTCATTATTGTGTCCATTAAATGTGAGGTAATGAAAAATGCAAAAGCCCTTTCACTATACCTTAAATATGCTATCTATAAATCCCCCGATTAAAAGTTGCAAAAATAGTGAAGTTTTTATTTTGATATTTCTTTAGTCTTAAAGTGTTATTGTTTGTTTTTATTACATTTGTTTATTTTTGTCTTGTTATTTTCTTAACCTTACTGATTTAGTTGTGTAATAAAGTTATTATTAACAATGTTGATTTGCAGCCTTTTATTGCATGACTATGTTTGCGAGCGTCGTCTTTTTTCACATGCCTCCTTCAGCCGTGGATTAAAAGGCGGTGGTCGTCATGCCGCGTCCTGTTCGATATGGGACTCATAGAGACGTACACAACCCATGTGAAATGGATTGTTTATTAACATAAAATTTGAACAGGCGCTTTGCGGCGACCACCACCCTTCAATCTTTGCAAAAATCGTGAAAATATTTGTTTTGACACCCAAAATTTTATCTGTAACTATGTTCACAAACACCCGAGTTTTGAAAATCTACGACACTGATCATAGATTTGTCAAAACATGACTTTTATCGTGAGAGCGATTTTTTTAGCGACTGAGAAATGCAATTACTTTAATTATATTACAGCATACAAACTGAATGTACACACACACACACATAACAATACTCCTACAAACCTTATTATTTTTCAACGCTTGAGGCGGGAAAAACTTTACTTGCAAGTGTGACTTTATGAGTATTGGAGACGGCATTTGTCTTATATGCGACAATCCATCCGCTAGTTGAAGCACTCCATAAGGGGGTATCGGAATGTACTTTTCCCACGACTTTGGAATCAATAAACCAATTGTATACGAATATAGAAAGGAAATTGATTTCATGCTGTGAACAAAAGTAAATATTTAAATAAATCTGAATCTCCCGGATAAATGACCAACAACGTATTTTGACTGATGCGATATTGACAGTCTATTAGTAGTGTTCACGCTACTCGAAGTACGGGCTAAGATTTTAGCTAATTCCATGTGTTTGCATATCTTATAGACCCAAATGCGTTCACACACGGGAGGAAACTGTGGTAAGCACGGGCCAAGAAACGCGCAAACTTGCTGAGAATTTACAAAGACATTCAGTCATTTTAACTATGATTACTAGTACAGTAACTAGGAAGATATACATATTAGTTTTACGGTTATAAAATAATACCAAAGCAAATTCAGAAAGTGTAGATTGCAGAATAACAGGAAGTAGAACAGAGTCTCATCATCAGTTAATTTTTTCCGAGAGAAATGGCAAGCAGAAATGAATATACTAGTAAATACATGTATATATATATGACAATCGCTACTCACATAAAATTAATTTTCACGTAGAATTCCATAAATGGTGATCGAATTTGTAGAAGTGTCTTCTTGTTACTTTCGAAATCTCCATTATTGAGAATCAGGGTCATAATTTCCTGCGTCCAGGTTGTGCCTATTTAACATCAAACATGCTAGTATGTAAGCAATCATACATAGTTTATAACTAATCAAACATAGTTGTTGATAATGCTAATGGCTGGTGTAACGTGACGTGTATGTATATAATGACTTGTGCAATGTCACGTGCAGATATGGAACGCTAATGATTGGTGTAACTAGGAGTGCGTTCGCGTCGTCGCCTCGGGTGCAACGGGCGCCTCGAGTCTGCCCGGTTTTCGTTCGACTGACGTCACAACTCGGGCGTCTCGGGGTAGTTTTTATCGCCCCCGCTTGCAGTGCCGGGGAAGATTAGGGAGAACATAGTGAACGACGAAATTCATAAACTGTGTTTAGGCAATTTTCTCAAGCATAAAATGCATTTCAGGTGTAATTTTAAAATAAATTTTATACGTTTTACAGGAGTTTCGCTTGCATGGCAATGGACCAATATAATCACTACTTGCTCCGATTACGTTCGTGTAAACTACTTTCTCCTGACGTGCATAGAAGTAGTGGTATAGACTGGTCCAACGTGTCAGGCATGTTTAGAAAATAATGACTGGTGCAAGGTGACGTGCATACATGAATGATAATAACTTGTATTAGCGATTTAAATACACATATCCACGTATTTAAAAAAAAACATCGACGTGAATCGTAATCAAAAAAACCTGTCTCCCGTTTTCCTATGTAATATATTTACGATTAAAATGAATTTAACACTTTCCACATCATACTCCCGGTATCGGTGTGTGAAATTCAGTTGATTGAACCCACAGTCAGCTGGCATCGGTGTCGCTGGGTGTATATGATAAAGGGAAGTTGTGCAACCAAATTTGCCAAATTCGCAGTTTTTCGCCAATAAAAAAATAACTAAGACAAAAACTTACGGTTTTTCAGCATTTTTGTAATAAGGACATTATTCTCTATCAATAATCCGCCCAAAACAGGAACATTTCTACTAATTCTTGTGTTTTTTCGACGTTTTTCGAAAAACCTGCGATTAGGCTGCGAAAGTAGAACATTCCGGAGGGGGGATGAAACGGAAGAGCCAAACTTAACGCGTAATCAAAGAAAGCTTAGAAAGAACTCCCATGTGCTGAGAGTATTGGAGACACATTAAATATAATTCAAAATTACTTGTCAGAGATAGTGATAGTGATGGAAAAGCCGAAAACTACTAATGCAAATCAGAAAATTAATATGAACAGATTTTAATGTAAAACTAATGAGGTCTGCGCAATGTAAGAGACCAAGTTTTATTGAAATGGAATAATTAGTACTTTAGATATCAGTGTGATAGCTTAAAAGTGGTTAATTATGTAAATTAATAATTAATATGTACAGATTTTAACACACAATTATCCAGGTCTGTCTATTGTCCTACAGTAATCATGTACAACGTTTCATTGAAATGTGATATAGTACTTAAGAAATCAGTGTGAAAGCTGAAAAATAATTAATTATACAAATTAGGTAATTAATATACACAATTATTTACCCTAAAACTAATCAGGTCTCAAGTTTCATTGCAATGTGATAATTAGTACTTGAGATATCTGTGGAAAAGATGAAAATTAACTAATTATGCAAATTAGATAATTAATATGCACAAATATTTATCCCAAAACAATTAATCTCTGCATAGTCCTTGAGTATCTATTTACCAAGTTTCATTGAAATGTAATGCTTACTACTTAAAACATCAAAAGCTGTAAATTAATTAATTATGCAAATTATGTTATTAATATGCACACATATTTATCTCAAAACAATCAATCTCTGCACAGTCCTTGAGTATCTATTTACCAAATTTCATTGAAATGTAATGCTTACTACTTGAAACATCAAAAGCTGAAAATTAATTAATTATGCAAATTAGGTAATTAATATGCACTGACATTATCCTAAAAACTATCAGGTCTGTGCAGTGTCCTATGACATCTATGTACCAAATTTCATTGAAATGTGATGATTAGTACTTGAGATATCAGTGGAAAAACCGAAAATTGACTAATCATTATGCAAATTAGGTAATTAGTAATTAGGTTCAGAGCATCCATGTACCAAGTTTCATCAAATCCAATAAGTGGTTCTTTAGATATCAATGGAACAGTCATGGAACAGCTAAAAATTAGCTTATTATCATGCAAATTAGGTAATTAATATGCATGAAATTTTACCAAAACCGCATCAGCCCAGAGCATCTATTATCCAAGTTTCATTAAAAACTGATGTATGGTTCTTGAGATATCAGTGGAACAGACGGACATACATACATACATACATACATACTACACACACACACACACACACACACACACACACACACACACACACACACACACACACACACACACACACACACACACACACACACACACCCATACATACAGACAAACTAACCGCAAAGACTCTCATTTTGTGCTTCCCAACATGGGAGTCAAAAATAAAACCGCGTATTTTGA